TATAGTTAAGTTTGAATAGTGGACATTGAAGAATGATCAATGAGCGAATTGAAGATAACTCAGATGGTTAGATTTCTTGTGATGGAATCAACTCATCAAAGTTCATGTTCTAGACTTGGCGCTGATAGTTGCATTTTTCTGTACCTATTTCAGACGTTCCGGCGATGTGAGTTCAGTGGGAGGAGATGTTCCCGTCGACTACGAATGCGTCTGTGATGACTTCGTCAACTTAAAATGTTGTGCCGGCTGAGTATCTCGGAGATGCTTATAGGGATAGAGTGTGTGTGTGCGCGCTCATAGGATGAGTGTATGTGCGTGAGCATTTGTATTGTATTTTAAAAAATGCCCTTGCCGGCGTGAGGGCTCTGTTTTCAGTTGTTTCTTCGCGTTTTGTTACGATTTGTGTTCTGCTCAGGAAGACGAGACGGCGGCGGCTCCCTGAAGATGTAGTAATGTTCTTCCCGCCTAGCCCCTGTCTTGATTATGTCTCTAGCATCTTCGATGGGTGGGTGGAGGTGTGTCTCCGGTGAATCTATTATTGGTGAATTTGCTCGGATCTGGCCGTAGTTCGTCTACTTTCATGTGTTTTCAGGTTGGATCATTCCGAGCTACTCTACTCTTCATCGGCGGCGGTTGTTGTCCTGCTGCGCTGGTCCTATGGAGTCTTAGCACGACGACTTCCCGATTGTCTATTACAACAAGTTTTGCCCGGCTTTGGCGAGGGAGAGACAATGACGGCGGCGCGCATTCGGCTCGCTTCGGTGCTTGTAGTCGTCGCTAGGTGAAAAAAAATACTATGAGAGGAAGTTTTCTCGAAAAAACAAAATCAACTATGGACATCCACACGTACGGTTGTTAAAAAAATGCAATTTAGCGAATTGTTGGTTCATGCAAAGATTGCCTCCAATTTCCATGGGATCGACCGACCAAAAGTAGTACTAGTCTACAAGACGAAGAAAAGAAGTTAAGAAAAGACTGCTGATGATCCTGTTGACGGGAGCAACAAACAAACTAACCGGCACGGGAGAGATCCGCGGCTCCGTGTCCCGATTCTCCTGCGAGTCCTGTCCCACGCCAAGCCGCTCAACCAGCGAACCGCCTGCTGACCCCACATCCTGCTCGCCCCCGACGTGCGGGGATCACCCCGCGTTCCCCGAACTCGTGTGCATGGCGCGCCACGTACGCCCATCGCGCCCCGCAACGCAAACACAGCGCCTAAAACCCGCGTCCAAACCAATGGTGGCACTACCAGCTTAGATAGATCGATCGACCCATCCATCGGCCGATCGGCATGGCGGGGGTGGGAGGCCGGAGCTCGCGCGCCGCCGGGAAGCGCGGGGGCGGGGCGGCGTCCTCGTCCGCGGCCGCGTCGGCGTGCGTCTACTACGCCACCACGGGGGTGCTCGTGGCGCTCTGCGTCGCCGGGGCCTACTTGCTCACGTCCACCTCGTCCGCGTCCATCGCCGGGCCGGACGACGGGGACAAGGCGGCCGCCGTCACGGCGTACCGCCATACCACGCGCTCGTCGTTCGCGTACGAGGTGACCAGGGAGAAGGCGCCGCCGTCGCCGCCGCGCGAGCCCGAGGCCGAGGACGGGGCGCTGGGCAAGGAGGACGCTGGCTCCGAGGAGGATGGCGGCGCCGAGCAGGAGCGCGGCAGCGCCGTCACCGCGGCGGCCGTGGGCGACCCGCATGCCCAGCCCGATCTGGACGAGCGTGGCTCCGGCGGCGAGGACTCCAAGAGCGACGCGGCGGCGGTGGACGAGGACCAGAGCAACGAGCGTGTCCGCGTCGCCGCCAGCGAGGCCACCGCCGAGGAGGAGGAGGACGCCGCGGCGGCGACGGGCGCGGACAAGGAGCAAGAAACGCTGGACAACGATCAGGAAGAAGAGCAGCAGTCGCATCTGCAGATGCCGCGCGCCACGGTGGAGGAGAGGAACCTGGACGGCGGCATCGAGGAGGAGAGCATCGCGCGGCAGCGGCAGAGCGACGAGGAGGAGCGTATGAGCGCCGGCGACGAGCAGCCCGGCACGGGCATCCTCCGCCGCGAGGCGCAGGAGGACGAGGCGGCGGAGCGGCAGTCGGATGAGGATAGACCCGATCAGGAGCAGCCGGAGGAGGAGCGTAGCAGCGACCAATCGCTGGTCGAGGAGGACGGGCGCACGTTGGTGGAGGTGGAGTCCGACCCCGGGCAAGAAGACGGCGGCGGAGACGACAAGGCAGCCGAGTCAGAGCACAAGGAGGACACGGACGGCAGCGGCGCCGGCTCGGTGAACCACAACGTCGTCGATACGCTGCAAGGCGAGGACTCGGCCGTCGGCGCCGGAGGAGACCAGAGCGCGTGGGCGACGCAGCGCGATCAGTCCCACCGGGAGAAGGACCGGCGCCAGGAAGACGCGGGCGACGGCAACAGCACGGACGGGGAGGAGCAGCACGAGTGGCGGACGTGCAACGTCAAGGCCGGCGCCGACTACATCCCGTGCCTGGACAACGAGAAGGCCGTCAAGAAGCTGCGGCCGGAGAACTTCCGGCGCTACGAGCACCGCGAGCGCCACTGCCCCGACGAGGGCCCGACGTGCCTCGTCGCGCTCCCAAGAGGCTACCGCCGGCCCGTCGAGTGGCCAAAGAGCCGCGACAGGGTACAAACAAAAAAACATTCTTCTTTCCATGGATTGGTTGCTCACTGACACGACGATGGTGACTTACTGACTTGTGCAGATTTGGCTGAGCAATGTGCCGCACACGAAGCTGGTCCAGGTGAAGGGGCACCAGAACTGGGTGAAGGTGAGCGGGCAGTACCTGCTCTTCCCCGGCGGCGGCACGCAGTTCATCCACGGCGCGCTGCACTACATCGACTTCCTGCAGCAGTCGGTGCGCGGCGTCGCGTGGGGGAAGCGCACGCGGGTGGTGCTGGACGTGGGGTGCGGCGTGGCCAGCTTCGGGGGCTACCTGTTCGAGCGGGACGTGGTGACCATGTCGTTCGCGCCCAAGGACGAGCACGAGGCGCAGGTGCAGATGGCGCTGGAGCGCGGCATCCCGGCCATCTCCGCCGTCATGGGCTCCAAGCGCCTCCCCTTCCCCAGCAAGGCGTTCGACCTCGTCCACTGCGCGCGCTGCCGTGTCCCCTGGCACGCCGACGGCGGCGCCCTCCTCCTCGAGCTCAACCGCGTCCTCCGCCCCGGCGGCCTCTTCGTCTGGTCCGCCACGCCCGTCTACCAGAAGCTCACCGACGACGTCGAGATCTGGAAAGGTATGTGCAGACATGATTAAGCACCAATGATTTTTGCTTATGAGTTCTCACCGTGAGCATGAGTGAACGAACCATTCGCAGCAATGACGGCTCTGACGAAATCCATGTGCTGGGAGCTGGTGACGATCAAGAAAGACCGGCTCAACGGCGTCGGCGCCGCCTTCTACCGGAAGCCGACGTCTAACGAGTGCTACGAGAGCCGGACAAGGCAGCAGCCTCCCATGTGCAGCGACGACGACGACGCCAACGCGGCGTGGTACGTCCGCCTGAACGCGTGCATCCACCGGGTGCCGACCGGCGTGGCGGAGCGCGGGGCCAGGTGGCCGGCGGACTGGCCGCGGCGGGTGCGCGCGCCGCCCAACTGGCTCAACACCTCGCAGGTCGGAGTATACGGGAAGCCTGCGCCGGAGGACTTCGTGGCGGACTACCAGCACTGGAGGCGCGTCATGGACAAGTCGTACCTCAACGGCCTGGGCGTCGACTGGTCCAGGGTGAGGAACGTCATGGACATGCGAGCCGCCTACGGAGGGTAATATCAGCGACAAGAACCCTTCCCGCCATTGCACCTAGCAATCACCTCCGCGACATTGATGGATGTACATGGTCTCTGCCAGGTTCGCCGCGGCGCTGAGGGACCAGAAGGTCTGGGTGATGAACGTCGTCAACGTGGACGCGCCGGACACGCTGCCCATCATCTTCGACCGCGGGCTGTTCGGCATGTACCATGACTGGTGCGAGTCCTTCAGCACCTACCCGAGGACCTACGACCTTCTGCACGCCGATCGCCTCTTCTCAAAGATAAAGGACAGGTCAGTCGCTGCTCTGCTTACTTCTACTTCAGCCATGGTCGGTTCAGGGTTACGACGGCAAACGTGTGTTGTTCAGGTGCGCCGTGCTGCCGGTCATCGTCGAGGTGGACAGGATCGTGAGGCCGGGAGGGAGCATCATCGTGCGCGACGACTCCGGCGCCGTCGGCGAGGTGGAGAAGCTCTTGAGGTCGCTTCACTGGGACGTGAGGCTCACCTTCTCCAAGAACGATGAAGGGGTGCTGTTCGCCGAGAAATCGGATTGGCGGACGGAGCTGGCCGCCGAGCCAACCTAAACCAAGCCATCTCCATTCTCATGATCACAAGCAATTTTCACCCAGCAAAAGATAGATAGGGTTTTTCTTTTGTTCTTTTTTTTAATTCTTTCTTTGGTTAGCATTAATGTAGTATGTGGTACCAACTAACTACCCTACAAATAAGACATGGCTCTGTAATGCAGTATGCATCCAAGACTCATGCATAGAACTGAGATGAGTGGAGCATTAGTTTGTCAGTTCAAATACTTGCTCCCTCCAACCCATAATAAGTGTCACAGTTTTGAACTACTCCAGTTGCTAGCAAATCAGTTAGATTAGTAAAGTTAAATCAATGTTGAGTCCAGGTGTTAGAAGATACTACTTCAATAGCAGATCGTAATAATGTCTGCAGATGTGCACATCAATTGTTACAACAATGTAAGGTATCCACGGCAGATGCTCTGAACAAATCAATTGGGCAACCACTGGCATATCTTTATACAAATTCATTTTTGACCCTAGTAGTTCTCTTTTACAGAACCACGACCCATGGTGCCTCCCATAAAGTGTGTTCCAACAAAATGCTGATACAATCTATACTGACATTAGATATCTGGTGCCTTCTGGTTCATCTTTAGTTTACCTCCATAAATCGGTAAGCTGTAGATGGCAAAATTGATGGGCATCATCACGCATTGCTTGCAGCTAGCCCGTTTGTAACGGCATGTGACTGTAAAGAGCTCTGATCTCTGTAAAGTGGTATTCCACCGCCGAGTTCTTTCAGCCTCTTTACCATATCATGCAACCCCTCAAAAGTGAGCTTGGTCTGTGCATTGAATTCCTCCCTCACTTGCGGATGCACTCTAAAACAGCTTCCCAGCAACTTGTGGAGATGGGATCGAATCATTCTCCATGGCACTGGGTATTGCTCGCACAGTTTCAAATACTCAATGGCAAGATCAGCCGGGTCTAAACCACCATCTCCGTCTTCATTGCCATCTTCTTTCCACTCCTTTGTACGGAAACCAGCAAATAATGCTGGATTTTCCAAAAGAGGTTCAGCTGAAAGCACGCCATCAGCACCAGTGTGTTGCAGACAGCTCTTCACATCCTCCATATGACGAATGTTTCCATTTGCAAGTACAGGTATCCTCAGGGCATCTTTCACAGCTTTGATGGCATCCCAGTCAGCTCGAAATTTCTTCCCATCTTTTTCATCTCTTGTACGCCCATGCACTGCCACAAGAGAAGCACCGGCTTCTTCAAGCATCTTTGCATACGCAAGTGTGTCCTCCAGTCGCGGAAATATGCGGATCTTGCAAGAGACTGGAACACAAAGGTTCTCTGACAGATTTTGCACAAGCGATTTAACGAGTGGAAGGTTGTCCATGAGAAATGCCCCATAGTATCCCCGTTTAGCAATGCGCTGTGGACATCTGCAGAGTTTTCAGAGAGGCATTACTGCCATTTAGAAAAGAATCCAGTTTGAATCATATATTTGAAATAATGATCATATATGGGGAACATCCACGATGTACTGAATATTAAAAATGATGAAGATATTAAATTTGCAGACATAATGCCACCACAGACACATTTGCAAAATGTGCAGTACCCGAGGAAACCTCAGATAAGGCAGCTTTAGTGCTTTGAAACATTTGCCTAAAAATAAAACAAAATAGTTCGGTTGCTTAAAGTTTAAATTCTATCACTGCAAGGTCCAGTGCTAGCATCATGCTGAAAGCACAGGGATACTTCAGCGACAGTGATCAGAGGCAGATTATCTATCGTAATGTACTTTTTTGTTTATGCAACAAATATATATGAGCCACTACAGAAGTCCGCAGATAAGTGACTAAAGAGAACAGTATTTTTCAGTATAACATCATAAAGAATTGGCACATTACCCAAAATTCAAATCAACATAGTCGCAGTATGCTTCCACCAGCTTTGCAGCTTGTAACAAAATATCAGGATCGTTCGCACAAAACTGAACAAAAAGTGGGCGGTCCTCCTGCATAAGATTTGATCAATGTCACATTCCGCGCAAGATTTCCTTTTATTGTATAGTAGTAGACTACAGACAGTAACTGCACAATACAGCTAATTACTGGAAATAACTGCCTACCCATTTTATAGTCCTATACTACTAGGACAACGTAATACCGAATCTTCTGGATGATGTAACAGAAATTCACCAATTGTTACTCTTAAATCCTATTCTAACAGTGAAGAATTACCAGAAATTCTATGAAACAGTGGTCTACAGGTGAATCAAATTGCTCAAATTCGGCTATCCTAGAGTTTAAACGTAATGATACGACGACCTAGAGGCTCGTAAGTGTGAGTTTACCTTGCAGGTAGTGAACTCCATGTCCCTGTGCTTCTCGTTCTCGGAGAAGATGCGGGAGTGGAGCATGGGCGTGTAGGCGGCGTCGGCGCCGTAGCGGCGGCACAGCATGCGGAAGGGCAGCTCCGAGTTGTCCACCATGGGCGCCACCACCAGCCTCGGGGACCCCAGCCGCCTCCAGTGCGCCCACGCGCGCTCCACCCTCTCCTCCGCGGACGCCGGCGGAGGAGGCAGGGGCGTGGGCACGGGCGGCGCGATCTCCTCGGGGGCAGCGGCGGCAGCGGGGCTGGAGCATATGTCCTCGTCGGGGTCGGAGGCCGTGGTCAGGTGGGCGGCGGCGGCGGCGTCGGCCGGAGACATGGCGAGGCTAGGGTTTAGGGAGCGGAAGAGGAGGCGCGAGTTCGGGAGGAAGGGGACGAGTCGGCGTGGTAGCATGCGGCTCGGCTCGGTGCGGTTCGCGGATCGGGGGTCCCGTGTTGTGGGCTCTGATCCAGTCGGTCTGAGGAACGAGCCCCACCTGTCAGTGGATGAAGAAGCTTAGAAAAAATTGCCCTAGCTCAGCCCATCCGGCCCATACTAAGAGTAGCCCATCCACATTTGTCGCTTTTTCGATGAGCCGATCCACCTTACATGGCCCACATGAACCTAGCTGAGATTTGTTGAGAGGCCGACGATGAGGACAAGTGCCTCAATTTTTCTTTTTGAGAGATGCCTACCAAAAATGTTGAGAATTGAGAAACAAGGTATTCTCAAGAAATAATTTGTTGAGAGGCAAGGAAGCGAAAGAGAACGAGACCGACGATGTGGACAAGTGCGACGATTGACTTTGACTCATGCAAGCGAAGCTGATGTATGGTACGACGAGCCATTAGCCATGAGAGGATGATGATCGTATAGTGGTCATGAGCAAAACCCGTCTGAGGAAGAACAACCTAGCTTAGTCGCATACATGGACCACAACATGAACACCCTTGAAGTTTCCCAAAAATAAGGCCAATTCTTTTTGCCTTAAACTCATCAAGAAATCGGTTTAAGATTATTTACGTTAGGGATGTTGTTTGAGTTGTTTGATGACAAGTCTATGATGCTCATCTACTACTCCTATAAAAGAAAAAGAGAGCGGAAAACCAAACAATCAGATCCATCCATCAACAAAATCTAATGACCCTTAATCATTCGATGTTTGATGCAACAAACACGCCAATCAACCCACTAATCCTCCATCGCTATAATCACGAAAACAAACCGCTCTGCAGAACGCGCACGCCCGCACGACCTTTCCCACTCTCCTCCTCCCAACCAGTACTCCCTCCCAACGTCCCCTGCCCGTCGGACGTCGGTCTGCGGCCACCCCGCCGGCCCCGCGCGCTGCGTCCCCTGCCCGTCGGCAGCCGG